TCTTTTATATCTATATATGTATTCTATTTAGTACATTCATATTTAGTCTTGATGTGTTTACATATTTATAATCTAAAATATGTGTCGCCAGCCAGTTTATTTCCTGCATCATTGACTGATCTGCGAGTACCGTTTGTTTGCGCATGTATTAGTATATTGAACTTGATATCTGACTGTTTGAATCAAATATTCATCCAAAATCAATATTTTCTTTAAACAACCGAAATCAATATAAATTGATGTTCGATATGGGGCATAGCTTGGATAGGAATACATTCCTTTTATTATCTGCCAATCGCCGTGATAGTTGGAGTATGCATTCGTACATATTCAATGAAACGCACATACATGTGCGGTCGTACAGGAGGTGAGTTCATATGATTTGTAGGTACCAACATGCCTGTGTCAGTACGCACACGCCTCTATTGGCGTTCTCCTGGCATGTTTAGGCTTCATCAATCAATCGAGCTAACTCACCCTAACGCAACGATCACAACCAACACGCACAGAAAACCATCAACATCGACGGACATGTGATAACTAAACACCGCAGCAATCCAGCGGACCCGGGTGATCTAGACTTCTCCGCGGAAGAACTAAGTACCGTACTACACGCACTCTACAAACACATTGAGGGGCGCTACAACTTCCCACTGCAGACGAAGGTGAAGAAAGTGAAAGCAACCGATGACACGGCAAACACCAGAGCGGCAGAGGTGTGTGCCACCACTAGAACATGTGAATGTATGTACCCAGTGATATGGATCTTGCTACAACGTTGGTTATCGTTTCTTATATCTACCCCATCACTGCTAGTTTGCATAGCCTACTAACAGTACTTTACACAACCACCCACCTGCAGAGCATCACATGCGACGTAAGGAAGCGCACATATGTCGACATCTCTAAGTACACATGTACGGCGCCAGAGGCTCGGGACGCTCTCTGCGCAGCAGCTGTGAATGCTTCACGGACGTGCTGGTGTTGTCTGTTGCCAAGGAACAAGGTTGCTAGGCAACCGCGCAAGCTGATGGAATGTAGTGGAGGCATACCCAAAAGAAGTAAACGAAGGTGAGTAGCATGCATTCCCCTGTAGTACCCAAGTAGTGTTTGTGTTTGTGAGAGTGCTTCAATGGGGTTGACAGGCAAATATGGCCTTATTCGAGCTAACAGCAAGCACGTATACTTTTGCATCTACATACACGCATCTTCCTACGTGTAGTTGGAAGGACATACACACATATTGCATACGGTATATATATTTGAATAAGTACACACACACACACACATATTGTAAGCGTATATCTCGCCCATACGATAGTTTCAATGACTTAACCCCACAGTCCATTCACAGCTTCACATTGTAGGGACAGTGACGGCGATCAATGGCCCCGTTTGCGATCCACACCACTAGAACCGTCTCGTGCTAAGAATTATATCGTCTACCCGGGTATGCGAAATGTTAATGCACAACGTATCTACATCTTCTCACAGGCGGTTAACGGACGCATCAGCCGTCAACGACTTGTCTGCAGACGACATCGCAGCGGTCCTCAGCGCACTGAATGCAGTGGTGGACTCCGCTCATTACTTCGCTGTACATCGTACCAGCCCTTACACTAGCGCAAGGACCCCTACAAAGACCCCTATAAAGACGCCCAAGAAGGCCCCTACAGTGTCTGGCGGCGCGGTATCGTACACAGACGCTCTGGCTGCTATGCTTCAGACGGTGCAGAAGGAGGTAGAGCCCACAGTGGCTGAGACGACCACCCAGCACACTGAGGACACAACGAAGTACTCAGATACGAGGCCATCCCATAAGCAGGGTAGGGGAATGCAGGCGCACATGGGTAAATGTATGTGGTGTGTGTGGCGTGTGTCTCTACTGATTTGAGCATGTTTGTATTTGTAGTTGCACCTTTGGGTATCGCTGTATTGTTGAATTATAATCAACGGTTGATCAGTTGGCTATGGTTAAATCTGGATCGCATGGTAATTTGTGTGGGCATTCAAATTGCATATGACCGACCGATTTATAGGGATGTGCGGTGTCCTCAGATATGACTTCCTCAACTTGCGTGTCCAATGTAAGGTGTGGTTATTGTGATATTCGTCTGCGACACAGTTGTCTCTGTGTGAGTCACAGGTAAGGCCACGCAGTTCCACTCGGCAGACGGACTTCGTCTCTGAGAACTAGTCTAAGAAAGTACATAAAAGCGACACCACGAGTACACAGTTGTTTGCATATATACTAAGCAATACTTCTTACACACACGCGTTGAATGCAGCAGCCCCCCTCGTGTCCTATTGGATACGTATATTTACGCAATCTAAGGGTGCTGTAGACATGGACAATGCATGGGCAAATATGGCGGTGCGGCAGGAGCAGATACCTCAGCCAACCAAGGCGCTGGAATACTCGCCGTCACAGGCATCGGACAGGCAGCAGAAACTCAAGGACGCTTCTGTGAGTGGATCGCTTGTTGTGAGCAACGCAGCTGAATGGAGGAGCGCTACAAACCACTCTAGGGTAGGTAGATGGCGTCTGAGTATGACAAGTCACAACTATGTTGCAAGCATAGGTGTATCCTACTATACATACACTTATAGACCTTGCGCTATGTTTGCATTCCAATCGTTCGGATGAGTGAAGTGGTTAGGGTATTGGTGGGGGCAGGTGCCTTTCACCAGGGGGACCACAGTCTAAGGGGGAGAAGAGTGTCCTATAATCAACTGAGAGTTTGGTATAGCTTGCGGGTCTAGCCTTGACGTGAATAGTTCGATCTGTTCTGCGCGCTTTGGATTTTCTTCTATTTTGGTGATTCACATCGCTCTTGACAAAGGCCGTTCACAAATGGATAGTGTCTGGTGTTCGAATGATGCAGGGCCCTCGTATAGTATGTAAATCTACATGTGCTGCTGAGCGTAGCATGATGGAGTCTGCACACGGTGGTCATCATCATCCACATCACTTTATCTGAGTGTGCACAACATACTTTTGCATAAATGCATTAAGACCAACCAGCCGCATTTTGATTTGCTCTGCTCCTCATTTTCCAATACTGGCATTTCCGATAGTCCCTGTTTATTAGGCTGTATGTCAATTCTGCTAACTATTCGGTTCTGTACGTGATGCCAATTACTCGTAAGCGCAGGATATCAGTGAGGCGGTCCAACACGTGGAGACTACGTTCATAGCCAAAGCGCCACTGTCCAGACATCCGCTGATCGATGTCGCACGCTCATTCCGCACCTGACAAGTACATGACTCAATATATTGCTCCGGCAATAGAGACTTAGTACTCTGGTCTACTTTTCGTCCGGAGTTTTGAATCAGTCGGGGATCGAATGCCCAGACAAAGTTTTCAGGTAGTGTGTCGGATATGGACATCGCTTTTTGCTTTCTTATTGAAGTGCTTTCGATGGCAAATTCCTTCAACCCAGGACTCACACAAACAATGTCATTGCAAGATCAAGTTAGCAAACGCTTTCGATGGCAAATTTCTTTAACCCAAAACTCTCACAAACAATGTCATTGCAAGATAAATTTAGCCAATTTGGCCTCTTGTTGAGAAGTATCAACCACGCACCATAATGAGTACAAGCATGTGCGACAGACTCGCTAAAATACAAAAAAAATTGGGCCCCAGTGTGCACTGACTTAGAAGCACTAATATAGCTTGTATATGTTATTTGGGTGGGTATACGTGTATACGGCTGTTGTATCCAGCTTGCTATAAACACAGCTATGCTACCGACCATCTTTGGCCTTCAACACGCAGCACTTTTTAAAATACACATTAATCGACATTCTTTTTCCTGTGGAGACACGAGTATGAGTCGTCAGGAATGTTTATTTTTGACTGTTAAAAAATAAATAAGTGAAGTGTATTATACCTGTCGGTGTCTTATCATTGATCAGGTGTCCAATGTCCATGACGCTCAAAAATATGATAAGATACTCATCAAGATCAATTGTTGAATTCAGAAGGCTATGTCAATATATTATAAAAATAAAGATTGTTATTTTTATACAAAAAATGTTGAGGTTGAATGGATATGATTGGCGATTGCTTTATTATAGGTCTCTTGAGATCTGATTCTCATGATGAATTCTCAAATCTCAATCCTGAAACATCAATGAATTCATGGGAGTATGTTGGCTTTTTAGAAAGAAAAAGGAGTAATCAAAATGACGACTGTATAATTAAAATAAAAAAAAGAAGCTAATATTGTTGAAATGGATGTTTCTTTTATTTTGTGGGTCTTTGTTTTGTTATCCGGCATCTCATTGAAACTTGGACATATTTAGGTGGGAAGAGAAAAAGCCCGCGATGTACTACTGCACGATGTTCTATTATTTTGCACACTAGTTTATAGCCAATGAAGTTCTGATAAAAAAATGGGGGTTTTAACGTGTTCTGACTCTCACTCTACTGATGCCGATCCTAACTGACTATGTAACTGTATCTCCCAGGCCGGGATGAGGGATCTGCTCATTCTGCTGTATTAAGTATTTACTTGATATACCTCCACTTCGATTGGTTGTATCACAGGATATAAGATAGACGAATGGTATTTACTTGATATTCCTCCACTTCTATTGGTTGTATCACAGGATATAAGATAGACGAATGGTTTTTGGTAAATACATTCCAACAGACACCCCTTCATTGCAGTCATTGTGCCTTGATGAGTTGGTACTTGATACAGTCTTGATACAGTGGAGTGGTCTGTGAAACTAGTGCGCACTCAGGACTGTGGAGGTGTAGCGTACGTTTTTAATGAATTAATACAGCCTCCTAAAAAGTACAGCCTCCCAAAAAGTAAATATGTCAGATATTGTATAGAGTATGATCAGCTATGATCAATTGATCAGGATACAATAAACTTGACCAAAATAAGATAGATAGCTAAAAGATAGAAACTATAGAGAAATTCCTTGATGCGGAAGTATAGATATATTTGACAATATGCACCCCGGGCACGTAGCCTTATTAGATTTTATTATACTATACAGAATTTTCTCTCACTCAAATCTACTGAACGATATTGAAAAAAAGTCTATGTGGGGAAAGCAATAGGATATCATGATATGATATCATTATTAAATCTATAAATGGGACGCCCTGGTCATGCCGGAGCAGACAACTATACTGAACGCAAATACTTCAGCCAAGAAAAATATATGAAGAGTCTAAGTTTGATTGCTATAGTAGCCGCTGCACTCTGTGTTATGGATTGCCATACTGGCGCTACATCAATCAATCATATCCGGCGACAGGATGATGACTGTGCCTTTATCGTGTCGATTGACGGTGGAAACTTGTTTGTGACCGGTGCAATGACGGGCGAGACAGGCGGTGGTGAGGCTACAGCTGACAAGATGTGCATCTATTACTTCAAACCCGATACTGCAGGAGAAGAGTCCTCGTACACTGGCAGCACATGGCCCTATGTGATTGTACCTAAACGTGAGGACAGCGACAGCGCATGCAATATTCAATTTGAATCTGACTTAGAGAAATCCAAACTGAAAGGGAGAGTGAGTATAAACGAGGACAGCGATGCTCTTCTTATCAATGGGCGGCATGTTTATTTCTTCACTAAGGATGAAGATAATGATTTGTGCACTGGCAACAGTGGCACTTGGGCCTCCATCGATGAAGATGGTGATACTACAGAGGGCGCATACGAGGTAGAACCACTGAAAAACGCGAAAAACATTGTTGTTGGCGACAATGGCGACCAGAACGACAACGACAACGATGATGGCGACGGTAGCAAAAACGAAAGTGATGGCGAGAATAACGATAAGGATAACGATAAGGAAAACAATAGCATCAATGATGGCGATAAGGATAGTGATCAAAATGACGACGACGAAGATGACGAATAAATCATTATTCAGTATCTGAAATCTTTGCTTGTATCCCCGGGGCGTCCTGCTATGATTTAAAATTACAAATAACGCAGTAATTAAGTTATCAATGTTGGCGCATTTTCTTCTCACAAGAATAGGGGAGCGTGCTATAAAAATCAATCATTCTAGGTGAATTCCAGGATTTAGTATGTAAAATTGTAGTTGAAATTTGAATTGAAGCTCGTGAAAACAGAACCGTCGAATATAATCCTGTTTGCATTCGATGAAGAAAGGGCTTTTGTTATTCTATCCTGCCTGTGTGAAATAGAAAAGACACTATATTGGAAGAATGTATAGATAACACAATAATACTGTTCCTGACGAATATTGTCCCAGAATTATGTTGAATGCGCAAGCTATGTTCAAGCAATTGATCCGACTAAAATTTGGGAACGCATGATTGTATACACAAAAGCTAATTAGTAATACGAAATGATTTCGGAATTGTCCCAGACTTATGTTGAATGCGCAAGCTAACTTCAAGTAATTGATCTGACTAAAATTTGGGAACGCATGATTATACACACATGAGCTACGAAATGATTTCGGAATTACCTGTAAAGTGCACACACATGTAATGTAATTGTTCTACTTGACAGCAGCTCACGGTGATTCTATATCAGTGCACGCACATGTAATGTAATTGTTCTACTTGACAGCAATTCAACGTGATTCTATATCAGTTGGTGTTTACGTATTACAACTAAATTAACGTGGTCATTCCAATATACCAACCACAGAATGACAATGCTTTGAAAGTGGACGGAATGACATTTATATTAACTTAGATAGGCTGCAAGGTTTCTGGATTTATATAGAAGTGTTTATTTGAACAGCTCAACTACGAGCTTCGCACGTTATTCCAATTAGCTTTCTCTCAAAACCGGCATGTGTAGGGGAGCGCTTCCCAAACAAAACGGACTTTTACATTATTTAGTGCCAATTGCATAGGTCTTCCTCCTCCTCGGTCGCAATATCTATAGCATGGTCCAGTTGGGAATTCATGGCGCCGTCGAACGACCTTCGTGATCGCACTTCGTTTGTCCCTTCAACGAACGCTGACTGATTTTGACGCATGCTGACGGGTGACGATTCTCCCAACCTAGGCAGTCTTCGGATTGATGGGGGGGTGGCGCAGGAGTACTTTGTCCCGGCTTCATTTCTGTTAATAAGATCAGAATTCATTTTGACTAGTCGTGTCTTTAGTTGATGTTATCAGGTTCTGTGTTTCAGAATTGTGTGAGTTGCAGTGCGCATCACGGGTTTGTTTTATACTATATTTTCGTTCTGGTGAACTTTATCTCTTAGTCTAATGCATCGGTATCATCAGCCTATCAGGTACAAACTATCAGTGTATGCGTGTATTTCGATTTTTAATACCCATGCTTGTACATTTTGTGATTTTTTATTGTTGTTTCGGATTGAAAATTCTTGATGACGAACTGTATGGGTTGCCCGCTGTTTCAGTGGATACGCATTTTAGCGACGGTCTCAACAACAATCAATTGTGGTCGGTAAGATAGTGATATGTGACATTGATCTGTGCTTTAGTTTGTCCAATGTCCTCTAATCAGTAAAGCATCGGTCCTGTCCTTGATTCTGATTGAGTGAAAGTATTCGTGATATCCTGGCTTGAAATTTTGAATGTTGAATTCATGATGTTTTATTTATAGAATTACATTCTGTAAGCAATGGCTTTTTCTTCTTCATCTTATTATTTCGTTGCTTGTTTTAAAAAAACAAAACAAAATGACATACGTAGCCTTCTTTATTTGTTAATTTCGAATCTTCGATGCATTAGCGTTTATCATCAATAGATAAACGTTTTCGTCCGTTTAATTGGCCACTTCGCCAGGTAGGCCAGCCTCCGGCCTCAGAACCCGTCAGAGTGTCAGAGCCTCCTTGTGTTCTCTTGTGTTTTGTTAAAAAAAACAAAACAAATATGCTTCTATTTTATGTGGGCTTGTTATTTTTTTTCTTCAAAATAAGTTGTGTAACAATCGTTTTTTAGAGGGCTATATTTAGCCTATGGATGTGCCTATTAATCTGGCCTGGTATACGACAAAGACGTGACTTCTTATGTAATAAACTAGTTCCCGACATATCGTATGTCTCATGACGTAAATTGGGCTTCTGACTGTAATAAAAGACATGTCATGTAGTCAAGTAGTCATAGCGAAAAGTGATGTCTTAAACCAGCACAGCTTTTTATATATTTTTTACGGCTATTTTTAAGCTTCCTCTCTCTAAATACTAGAGTAGCAGTCCTGTTTCTTTATGAGGCTGTTATTTTTATGGTGTTAAAACCCTAGAGAGAACGTATCGTGGCCAAGCCCGGCAGGCCGTCAGCCGCTCTAGCCGCCTGGCCGGGTGCCATGTCGCAAGGCGCAAGGGCCCAGCGGCCAGAAATGACCAATCACCCATCGTTGTGCGTCTCCAAGAGAGACTGCAGAGACATTGACAAATACTATCCTGCGGCAAGGCCCCAGTCTGCCACAGTGCCAGGCCAGCCGCCAGTCACTGTGACTGGAGTGAGGACTGAGGAGTGAGGAGCCACATGTGTGTTTTCTGTATTATGTCGACACTCGACAGTCTCTCGATTCTCGAAGTCTCGAAGTCTCGACACTCGGTCGTGACTTGTGAGACTCGTGACTTGACAAGAAGTCATCATTTTATAGAAAACGAACACAACAAGAGAAAAAAAATAAAGAAAAAAAAGCTCGAATACCTCTGCCAAGTTCCGACTATGTATTTTTTTATATAAAAATCCCTTTTGCCATCATCCGCGTGTGGAGTCGTGGAGACGTGGACCGTGGGGAGTGGCCGTGAGCGGGGTGTTGATAATTGATTAAAATAAATAGAACTTTCATGTAGAAGGCTATTTATAGCTCGCGTGACTGTGAATGAGAGTCCGCGTGACATTTCTGATCTCACATCAGTCACTCAGTGTTCTTTTTACATTTTTTTACAAAACATACCTAACTATAAACACCTGGGTTGGTAAACGACATGCCTTTTACCTGTGACGACAAGTCGCGAACGTCTTTTACATCATTCCGATGCCGACACATCGCGACAATCACGTCGCGACATGTCGGTTGGTCAAAAGACAACATGCACCTATTCTTTTTTGAAAAAATAAAAACAGATCAATCACAATCCCTTATATAAAATCCTCCAATGGTATAGTGTTGTCCAAAATTGGTTTGCACCTATTGTCTAAACAACGAAATGCACCTTTTTTACTATGCCTGGCAAAATCCGATCGGAAATGCATCTCAATTGTCTGAGGTTTTATGATATAATCGATTATAGATTATATTATATATATAATTTATGTATGAATATATATAATATAATATAATATAATTGATTATAGAATATATAATATAAAACAATTGATAATAGATTATATTATATATTTTATTTTATATATATAATATATGAATGTATATATATTTATTATTATATAATTGATTAAAGATTATTTTATATATACAATATATATATGTGTATATAATATAAAATTAATTACGGGCTTACGGCGAATTTACGCGTATACTGTCTATTTTGTGGTTTACTTGTTATTGTACAGTTGTGACTTGTGAGTCTGTGTGAGTCTGAGACTACATGGCCGAGCGCGTGAGACACTGAGACAGAGAGACTCCAACGCCCAACGGTCACGGTGTCAGTTGTTATTTGTCAAATGTGAAAATCGGCTAAACTGACTCTGTCACGAAGGACCCAGAAAAAGATGAAAAAAATACACCCCAATTATTAGGACTAGTCCTATAGGTCCTAGTTGACCTGGACAGATGCACCTGAACCTCGTATATAGTGGACTGGTATGGACACCTGTAGACGACTTGCAAGACGACATGTCGTCTAGAGGTAGGCCGACATAGTAGTAAACGACATGTCGCGACCGTCTTTTACATCTTTTTTTTGGCGACTCGTCGAGACCTCCCAGATAAACACATCTTTCATAAAGTCAGCACTAAGCTCCGTCTTGTAGCTTCCTTGCGTGACATTCTCACGTTATCGTCCTCATACATACATCTTTGGGTCGAACGCAACGATACTCAATCTGGCAGTTTCGCACATCATAATCCGTTTAAATGCGTGATATAGTCCGTTTGACATGCAACGTAAACATTGATTTCCTCCGCTTACGAGTATGAATCAAATAGCCCTTCTAGCGCATTGTTTATTTCTCTCATTGATCGTGCATTTTCACGTACTCTTGGACTGTTCACCGTTAAAACTCTTGTAAATTACGTATGTTTGAGCACCCAAGTCGACTGAACCCCCCCCAATCACGCACATACCTAAATAACACATATGTTTTCCTCATCATATATAGTATATGTTATACTCTTATATATAATGTGAATATGTATATGTATATGTATATGTATATGCATATGTGTATGTTTATGTATATGTAAAATTATATGTATATGTATACGAATAAGTATGTATATGAATATGCATGTATATGAATATATATATATGAATATATATATAAA